AGCGAGCGGTTGAAGGCGATAGGTTCGGTGAGGATGCACTGCATGCGTAAGGGGGGGCCATGGATGACCAGAGGAAGGGAGAGGAGGGCTTTTAGTTCGTCCAATGCCCGAGGGGGAATGAATGTGGGGAGATAGTCTCGTTCAAGGATGGCTTTATGCGAGAGTAGACCGTGTAACCCGAAGGGGAACGGGGCCAGGGTCCGTGCAACTTCCTCAGAGGGGGTTGGTCCGAATCTACGCAGGGCGCGCTGAATAGCAAGAGCTTTGACTTGTGTTGACGGGGCGATCGCCCCGACCCCGCCGTCTTGCGGGGAGTTGTACAGGAGGGCTTTGGAAATGAGGCGTTGTGCGATGCCGTCTTGTTGTGTGTTCGAAGACGAAAGGAAGTTTCCGACTGACACATCTAGGCGTTTGATTGTGTCTGGTGGGGCGGGTTGAAAGCGTCCGGGGAAGGAAATGACAGAGTTCAGAAAAATCGAGGAGAGGGATTTGCGGCATGTGACGGTGGCGTGTAAGGCCGCCAGGAACTTTGCGGTGCATTGTATGCGGGCAAGAGCATTGTTCCAGGTGGTGGAGCCTGGGTGTAAACGTTCGACGTAGATTCCGAGGATGCGTTCTGCCTCGTCGGGAGCTCGGATGGGTATAATCCCGGCGTGCACGAGGTCAGCAGGGGGGATATTGAATGGAATTATGGAGCACTTGTTCCAGTTAGGAACCTCACCGGAGACCGATCCAAAGACGCCAAGCAGCACTACAACGTGACCGAGCTCTGTATCTGAGGTGAGGAAGAGAGTGACGTCAACTGCGTAGCACGCCATGAGGCGGCGCTGTGCGGAGGACAAGGCGAAACCGGGAAGGAAGAGGGACATGTAGCGATGAAAGATCTCCATGACGCAAACGAAGAGCAAGGGAGCCAATGGGCAACCCTGTCGAACACCGGTGCGGACGGGGAAGGTGGGACCGAGCATGTTGTTAACCGAGATGCATGTGTACGTGTCGGAGTGCATTAACCGGACCCAGTGAATGAAAAGTGCGGGGAGCCCCAGGACTGATAAGGCTTGGAGGAGGAAAGACCTGTCGACGAGGTCGTAGGCCTTGCGAAAGTCCACCGTAAGAGCGAGAAGGGGGGACGAGGAGAAGGCTGCCCAGTCCATGATGTCCAGGGTATCGTTAATGGTGTCTCCGATTTTCCTGTGCTTGATGAAGGCAGTTTGGGATGGGTGGATGAGCTGGGGAAGGACGAGTTGAAGGCGGTTAGCGAGGCATAGCGCAAGTACCTTGTAATCAGCGTTCATCAGGGTGATGGGGCGGAGGTTTTCCACTAGCGAAGAGTCCCCTCTTTTTGGGATAAGGACAGTTCGTCCGGTCAGCATGGACGGAGGGAGGCTGGAAAGTGGCTGTGGTGGTGAGAGCAGGGAGTGGAAGGCCGGTGCGAATCGAGGGGAGAATTGTCGGAAAAGCTCCCCAGGGAGGCCGTCTGGGCCAGGGGTTTTTCCCCGTGTGAGAGAGAGGAGTGCTTTCCCGATTTCGGCTAGGGAGAGGGGGGCGCCGAGACGGCAGAGTAAGGGGTTCGGGATGGATGAGGGAGGGATATGTTGCCAAAAGGATGGGTTAGGGGTGGCGGGGTTGCATCCACTGTAGAGGGTTCGGAAGAAGCTAGAACACACGTTGGTCATGGTGGGTAGGTCCGAGGTTGTCTGCCCGTTGGGTAGGGTGAGGGAGTTGATGATCGAGCCTTTGACGCGCGAGTTGAGTCCGGAGAGGAGGGAGGAGACTCCCATTTCTCTGTGCCCTTCAACTTTCAGCTTGGCCTTGAGCGCAATTTCCGAGGCTTTCGAGGCTTCGTATCTGGCCAGGTGGAGCCGTGCTTGGCTTAGGCGGGAGGATTCGTTCTGGTCCAGAGGCGTATACGCTGCTTGCGACTGTAGTGAGCCAATGGTGCGCTCCAGATGCGCGATCGTGCCGTCGACACGGTGTCTCTCCAGGTTGGAGAATCTTTTGAAGTTAAGGGTGAGGTCGAGCTTCCACCTGTCCCACGAGTCGGGGGAAGGGGAGGAGGGGAAGGCTGCAAGGGAGGCATCGATGATTTGTGCAGCGCGGGGGCGCATGAGGAGATGTTGGCGGAGTCGCCAGGGCCGGGGGGCGACCGTGGGGTTGGTGAAACCCAGCGAGCAGAGAGGGGCATACAGGTGATCTGTGATTGTCGTGCGGATTTGCATGTACGGACTAGCGGCGAGACGGGGAAGGAAGGCTCGGGAAATGTAAATTCTGTCAAGGCGGGAGGATGTGGGCGGGGTCGCTGAGTTTAAGCGTTGCCTGCCATAAAAGGAGAAGACGTCGGTGGGTAAGGGGAAGAGTTCACGGAAAGTGTCGACCAGCGCGTGGTTGTCCATGAGCTTGGCAAAGGAGGCTCCTTCTCGGCATTCGTAATCTTTGAGGGGACGGTTTCTGTCAATGGGAAGGATGACAGAGTTGAAGTCTCCGGCGAGCATGGTCGCGGATGCAGCGGTGAGGGTTTCCAGTGCCGGAACGAGCATGGTGGTCCACCATATTCGACGCTCGTAGAATTGTGTGGGCGCGTATATGGCAATGAGGCGGATTTGCTCACGGAGGTAGTTGAGATGTACCGTGATAAGCCTGCCGTCTGCAGAGGGGAGCGGGGAGGACAGTGAGATGGCCTTGTTGAAAGAGAGGATGGAAATGCCTCCGATGAGAGTGGGCCTCCCGGTAGCGCTGTCAGTCGAGAGCAGCGCCGGGGCGTGGGCAGAGGCGTGAGGACGGAATTTCAAGTCAAGGTTGGGGATTCTGAGGATGAGTCGAGTGTCAATGAGAATGACCAAGTCGGTGGGGGCAGGGAGGCGCGAGAGCAAGGATTTAAGCTCATCCATTTTGCGAGTCTCATTGATTCCGTTCACGTTGATGCATAGGATTCGGAGGTGTGTTAACATGGCAACGACGTGAAGGCCACCGCACGGGAGATCGTGCGTATCCACGGCCTAAACGCAAGTTTTCGCCGGTGAGTGCATGGGGTGGATGTGAGGCCGGAGACGTGCCGGACTTGGTGAGGTTCGTGGTGCCGAGGTGACAATAGGTAGTGTGTCTGCGTGGTAAGACGTGCCGTTGGGTCCTTGAATTCAAAGAGCTGCCGAGACAGTGCCTGTTTGGAGTTTGGGGTGCGTGGAGTATATATGCGTGCTGGTTCTATCCGAGCATGATCAGAGCTACACCACAACCGCAAGGCTAGCATGAGGTGCATTGAGGTTGCAAAGTGCAGAATTATGATTGATTGGTGAACTATGGGACCTTGTGTGTTGAACAGGTAAAAGAGAGGAATAAGATCCTGTTTCCTTCTTGGGACGACAGTATGCAGTGGCGCGATACCATTTGTATGCTCTTTTGGTAAGTTGTGTTGACGACCAGTATGGTACCAGTAGCACTTTTTCCAGCTAGAATTTTGACGAATATTGAAGCTGAACGAATAGATCGGGGCAAGATTTTGTGCATAATGACAAGTGAAGCATTTGAGACATGCAAGCTTGTATCGATCTGATGCACAGTATCGTGGGGCAAGCAACCAAGGGGCAGAAAAAGCTGCTGGGGGTGCAGGCAGAGGGGGATAGTTCTCCGACGGCAGAGATACCGGTATTGCTTGGAAAAATGTATAGCAAAGGCTTCTGCCAGGCAGACAGAGTGGGAGGGGGGCCAGGGAGCACCGCAGGGGAGGGTATAAAAGGGGTGGGAGGTAGAGCAGCAAGGTAACAGGGGCTTCTGAGGGGCCGTGTGAAGGCACCTCAAAAATCAGAGAGGGCGGAAGGTGGAGCAGCAGGATACCAGGGCCGCCTGAGGGCCCAGGGTGGAACCAGAGAGGCATGAGGGGGGAAGGATTATCCAGGGGGGCGGATGGGAGGTGCAAGGGCGGGGTGGATTTGGGAAGGTAGGAAATGGGGCAGCCACAGTGAGCCACCACTAAGGAGGGAGGCCGTCCCAGGGGAAGGGGTATGGGCGGCATCGTATGGGGAAGGGGCACGAGCATGGGAGGGGAAGAGGGGGGGCATCTGAGGGAGAGGGTGAGCGGTATATCACTAGCCGATGCATTAAGCGACATCGTAAACATGGCAGAAAGGCTGGACAAGCGAACGGGGCGATAGTCCAAGCGTGCAAGAGCGAGAGGCGGGTTGAAACCAAGGGCCGCGAGGCACAGGGGATAGGGGGGGAGGTCAAGCACGCACTTGCAAGACAAGTGACCAGGGCGGTCTAAAAGAGCTGACTGGAAGCCCGAGGGGCTTCCGGAGTCACAAGGCCAATCGCAAACGATGTCAAGTGCGAGGTTGTGAAAGCAAAGACGTTGGCCACAGCGATTCACGGAGGTAGACTGGGCGCCTAATCGGCGTTCCGAGTCAGGGGTAGACTGGGCGCCTAATCGGTGTTCCGAGTCAGGGGTAGACTGGGCGCCTAATCGGCGTTCCGAGTCAGGGGTAGACTGGGCGCCTAAGCGGCAGCCCGAATCCGAAGGTAAGGCACATACGCAGGGGTAGAAAGGCAAGGAGGGGAGCACCGAAGCGAAAGAGAGCGAGACATGGCGGAAACAACGGGGAAGTATGTAACCATGAGGCGTTAAGAAACGGCAGAGCGGAAAACGACTGAGAGATGCATGAGGGTGTGCAGCATCACTTACCTGTAAGTATGTGAGGGTGAGATAGCGCAAGCAGGCTTGAGGTTGCCACCGCAGCCAAAAGTACAAAAAAGGTGACGGTGAGATTTTAACCGCGCGGTAGCACGGTGCGCGCAGACCCGGCTCTCGCAGTTCGGAGGCGGCGCGCGGGCCGGAGTCTCGGCGTGGAAGATAGCAGGCGTGCCGGAGGAGGAAGTGGGGGGTACGTAAACGGGGGGGAAGCACCAAAAAACAGAGCCAGCGGTGAAATTTCAAGCGTTGCCATGTGAACGCGGGAGCGCGAGGGGGGAGAGCGACGAAGAAAGTCGCGTGTGCGCAGTGCCAAGTTTCAGGCGGGGGGTTGTCCGTTGGCGACGGCGCAGGAGCCGTAGGGTGCTGCCAGCAGTACTGAAAAGTCTCTAGGCGGCAGCGCAGCGTTAACGAGGCTCCTCGCGGCCTTCGCGGGCACGGGAGGTCGAAGCACGGAAAGGCAGGCGAGGACTGACGGGCTGTCGCGCGGGAGGATCCGTGGGAGCTTCTCAACAAAATTCACCCGCACACCAGCCTTGCTCAGCAACCCCTTTCCGCAAGCAATCACCATCGGGGAATGATTAGGGATTGCCAGATGAGTGACAGTGCAATGCTTAGGGTCGAAAACTATGCCTGCACGCACTCTGTGAAAACCGAGCGTATGTTACCCCTTGCACATTGTGTCCATCAGGGCTGGCACGCCGTGACCAAGCCGGTCCATCAGGGTCGTTTTAACAACACTAAGAGGACACCTGCTATAATATGTAGATCATGTATTAAAAGATAGCAATAAAAAGTAGCAATTTTAAAAGGTGCAAAGCTACCACACTGGTGAATTATTCTGAAGACCCAGAGGATGCTCTTGTTTCCAACCAGCCCATCTACAGCTTCTAATCGAAGCGTGACGGGCCAGGGATAAGAGCCCTTTCCATAAAAACCCCCTCAAACCAGAGACCCCCGTTTGGGCACACTCTCAACATCCTGGAAGAACACCCACTGCCCTATCAACCATAGGGCGACATCAGCAACTCAGCGTTGGTCCTCACGGCACCTCCGTGCCCACTTGTTCAGGAACCACCTCGAAGGGTCCTTGAAGGACCGCACCATGTGCACGGTGCGCTGCACCTTCACAAGCTCAACCACGGTGTACTCGTCGTCCATGGCCCCGGGCCTCATCACCATGCAGCCCGTGCACTCATCCTCGTGCTCCGGCAGCCACTTGCAAACAAAGGCAACCTCGTAAGCCCCTCCATCCTCGCGGATGGCCGCGCCATCCATCGAGAGCAGAAAGTGGATGCGGCCATGCGCAATCTCGTCGTCCTCGTCGACGAACTCGACGAACGAGAACGCTGGCTCACCGTGCAGCGTGGGTGTCGCGTGCACGTAGTGCGCCTTGATGGTGGTATGGTCCAGCTCCTGAGGAGGCAGCGCCATCGCCCTGTGCACCTGTACTCCGGACACGGGTGGACAGCACAGGGGGCAAGTGAGGTACAAGGGACCGATTAACGCGGCCCTGAACAAAGAGAATGGATTAGCAAACGATGCTGCCCTACCAGCCCCTCTATCGTAGGCGGTATCATTGCTTACCCAAACAGGAAAGGGGCGCAGGCCATGCTCGCGCATGACAAAGGCGTATGGCCCGACACCCTCCTCCAGCGCGGCATCGTAAGCTGAAAAGATGTCCGCTGGCCCATTCGGGCTCCAGCTCCTGCCCAGCATACGAGTCCGCTTCCTGATGAGCTGAGGAGACTCTGTGGCGATGACCTGGTCGACGGCGACGGAAGGACAAGGGGGAGGGAGGGGGGGGAAGGGGCCGCAAGGGGGATGAGGGAGATGATAGGGCAGGGGGGACGGGAAAGTCTGCAGCTTTCCACCACGAAGAATTTTCAATCAAGGCATGGACACATAGGCAGAAGCAACAAGACATTCACGATGACTGATCATATCTTGAAACCCCTACGAGCCCCCACTCACGCGCCGCAGAGCTGTGTTATAACGGCCCGCCGGGGCTAGACTGCTGGGCAGAGTAGTCAGCAACGCTGCCGTGGCGTTGTGAGCAGCGATCTGCGTGCCATGCTGGCGGCAGTTAGAGGCCCTGTAGGGGATCTTGAAGGTCCGGATGTGTGCGTTCTCGTAGACAGCAGCCGACCACTCACGCGGCAGACCGGCCCGCTTGATGGCCTCTGTGATGTGCAGCAGAAGGTGGACCTTGATCAAGTTCCAGCCACACTTGCTGGAACGTGGGAAAGTACTCTCCACGAGCGTGACCATTCTGAAAGTGAAGTGGGAAGGAGGATGAAAACAACCCCGAGCCTCGAAAGTAGAGTGTGCGGTGCAGTTGCTATAGACGACAACCGAGAACCGGTGTATGGTGAACTCAGCACGTTACACCGCCTACCTCCGTGTAGCCGCGTCAAACTCGACCAGAGATGCGTGAGTGTGGTATGGTGCACGGAGATGCGTCTCGTGCCAGTCCAGAACTGCGACAAGCGCCCGCCGGCTAATGATGCTGCCCTCGCCCTCCAGCACGAAAGGTGCCACCTGCCAAACCGGCCCCAGCATGCCACGAAACCCCAGCGAGGTGTGGGCCTCCGTCAGCACAAGATACAAACAGGACGCGAAGAGGCCCGATCCAAACTCTGGTTAACGTACCATCATCACTCCGGCATGTTCTGATGCGGTGAAATTGGCGCCAGAGGACCAATACGTGTCTGCTCCCGGCTGGTTCAGCCCAGCCAGTCTCGCACCTGGGTATATGGTCTCCATGCGCCTGAACACACACAATGGAATTCGCAAGCAGAAGCGTATGTAATTAGGTGGAACTAACAAAACACCACTGGACAAACAAGAAGGCTCGCAGGCGGGGAGAATGGATGCTCCTTCGTGGGTAATGTCGTCGCGTACTCATCTGCCAAGGCGGCGCGAGCATCACTGCCACGCAGAGCAGCGCGGATGTTGATCCAGAAGCCGATGTAGAACACATGAAGTATATCAGGCATCAACGACAGGAAGGTGTTTCCCCAGAGCGTTCCAGCAAAATTCCAAGCGCATAGCACGGACTGCAACACGATTCCAGTACACAGGGGTGAGGGGAAAGGAGTTGCACGGTTGTCAGATGACACGAAATAATATGACATGCTGCAAGGTTTCGAGCCCCGGCATCGTAACAATGTTGACAAATGCTGTGCTTCAACAGCACGAATTGCACAAGACAGTGTGAGAATAATACGAGGAATGGAATGACTAGAAAGGAGATGGGTACATAAAGGGAAACCCTAGAAATGTTGTACCCCCTATGGTCTAACCCACTACAGCCTAAACAGGCTATAACATATGTTTGACACACCCCCATAGGCAAAGTGGGGGAGAACAAGGGGTCACAAGACCAGTTCAGAAAAGCAAAGCAAGCTCAGGGTGGATCTCAAGGATACCACACAAATTCCGAGCACAAGCAAGCGGTCACAAGACCAGTTCACATGCAGTTTGATAATACAACAAGAAGTACAGTGATCACAACCTAGCAAGTGTAAACATTGTTATAGTCACAATAGGCTTGAATGTGCCTAAAACGAAAGATAGAGAGCACAGACGGATTTCTGCACAGCGGCTTCAAACGTTGATAGCGTTCTGCTCACAGCTGCAAATGACTTGATTCAAATTGGATCTGGAGCTTCTTCACGTCGTCTACAATTATCAATTTAGATTGCACGATTTGATAAAGAATTGACGACACAGCGTCGGTTTGAACGATCGGTACTATGGCAGCCACTATAGTCTTAGAACACAAGATAGGAAGAGTTACGAGTTGGGAATGACTCCCAGCTCCTACAAACCCCAAGAGCCGAGGTACAGTGATGTGGAACAGTGCCACACTGTCCCCAACCACGAAGGGTCTCGAAACTACCCTTCACTAGGGCCTACACCAAGTGAAATGTTACACTACACAAAGTAATGTAACTATCTTCAATATCTTGAGGTGTACCCTTTTGGCAAGCTTCGAAATCACTTGAGGCTTGACACCAAGGCTCGGGCTCTTCATCACAAACTCATCATTGAGTTCTTGATGGGTCTGCTGCACACACCTGCGACACGCCGAACGTTCGACACAGGACAAAATAGAAACCGCGCACGACAAAATAGAAACCGCGCGCGAGACACAAACGACCGCGTAACACGCGTCTAGCGATAACTCGCTATTGACTCGACACACACACTCGACATCATGACTCAACATTCACACACAATTATAAGCATGAAATATATATTATCCCATGCCCTCATACCATTCCATACACACACACATTCACGCACACGGACAACAAGCCGAGTGCAAACCGTAGGGTTGCACCAACAAACTCCCCCTCGGATTGTTGGCCTTAGGATATGTTGCTCTCTCAGTTCAGAGCCATCCCAGCCAGCTTGCAACACTTCCAATGCTGCTGCTCCACCAGCCTCTTGGTCATCATGTCAGCCGGCTGCCCCGTGGTCTTCACGTAGCGCAACTCAACTTCACCCGCGGTTACCATGCTCCTCGTCCAATGCCACTTCACTCTCATGTGCTTCGTGAGTCCATGCAACACAGGGTTCTTAGCAAGAGCAATGGCACCCTGGCTGTCACAGTACAGTGGGGTAGGTCCTTGCTGCTCCTCCCCCAATTCAGCCAACAAACGCCGCTGCCACACAATCTCCCGTACGGCACGGAAGAGTGCCATGTACTCGGACTCCACCGAGCTCAAAGCTTGGTCAACCTGCTTCTTGCTCTCCCAAGCAGTTGGGCCTCCACCAACACAGCATATGAAGCCTCCCACACTTGTCATGTCCTCTGGTTCTGATGCATATGAAGCATCCGAGTAGGCGGTGAGGAACAAACGCCCGGGTTCAACACCATCCGCGCCCTTTTGGCGCCTTTGTGCCGCCGCCGAGTATTGCAGCCCAACGGTCGGTGTTTGGCCAAGATACTTGGCCACCCTCATTCCAGCTGCTACCTGCTCCTCATTAGGGCATTGCACAACCCTAGCCAGCTGCCCGGTAGCAAACGCGACGTCCGGTCGGGTGTTTACCGCCGCATACATGAGGCTGCCCACCAACGAGTGAAATCGGCGCCTCTCCTCTTCACCAACGCTCTCCTCCTCTGGTCCCTTCACACACTTGAACCCAGAGGGAAAGGGTGTAGCCACATGGCCTTCACTCTGCCCAAAGTTGGCAGCCAATGCCTCCAGGTACTTTCGTTGATGCACCCGTATGCACCGCTTCTCCACATCTCGTTCGATGTGGAGCCCAAGGTAGAAGCTCACGTCACCAAGGGCCTTGCACTTGAACTTGTCTTGAAGCTTCAGCATCACCTCCTTCACAAGGTCAGAAAAGGGTGAGAAAATGAGGATGTCATCCACATAAACCACCATGAAACTCCTCTGCTCCCCCTCGCCAAGCATGAACAAGGAGTGATCGGCCGTTGAGGGAGTGAAGCCGATCCCCTCCAACACTTCGCGCAGCTTCATGTACCATTGCCTAGGGGCCTGCTTCAGCCCATAGAGGGCCTTCTTCAGCTTCCACACTCTGCCACTACCATCATCAAACCCCTCTGGCTGCGCCATAAAAATCTCCTCCTCAAGGATGCCGTTAAGGAATGCCGTTACGATGTCCATTTGCTTTACTACCCATCCTTTGATGGCGGCTCCCGCGAATAGGGTTCGCAGCGTCGTCGGCTTCACCACAGGGGCAAACAGCTCCTTGAAGTCCACCTTCTCCTTCTGCTGGTACCCCTTGGCTACAAGCCTAGACTTGTAGCGCTCGATCTTGCCGTCGGCATCCGACTTGATTTTGAAGAGCCACTTGGACGTTATCGCCGTACGCCCCTCCGGTAGCTCCACCAATTCAAACGTGTCATTCTCCTCGATGCTCTTCAGCTCACTCTCCATGGCCTTCTTCCACTCCTCAGCATCACTACTCTCCAAAGCCTCCTTGAGAGTTGCTGGTTCTCCCGGCATCTCCACCGGAGAGAAGAACGCGAAGGCACACTCCTCGTAGTCACTCTCCTCGTCGTCTCCGACCATCATTGCCGCTCCGGCCAGGGCTGTCTTGCCCTGCTTTCCCGGCGCATCATAGGTCAGCCTATTAAGGGGTTGAACTCTCCTCTTCCCCCTTCCTTCCTCCTCAGCTGCAGGGACTTGAAGGCCTTGGCGTTGCTGCGGTGTGGCTCGAATCCGTGGAGCACTCGTAGTACGGGAAGGAAGTGACGGTGCACGCTCGCTCACTTGCTGCACCTCCTCCTCTTCTTCCTCTGCATCATTGGCCTCCTCTCCCCCATTCACAAGGGAGGATTGCCTTGTGGTTGTGCTGCCGCTGCTCAGTTCCAAAGGCAGCTCCACATGCTCCAAACCGGAACTCTTCACCTCCCCAAACCGCACGCCTATCTTCGCCTCATTCTCCGCCTTCCAATCCTTGTACATGAAGTTCTCCATGAACTTGCAGTCCTTGCTCACCAAGAACTTCTTGGTGAATGGGTCCCAAAGAAGCCATCCCTTGCTGTTTTGAGCCATGCCCAAGTGCACGGCCCACACCGCCTTGGCACCAAGCTTGTTGTGCCGAAGATGCTTAGGCACGAGCGCCATGCACATGCACCCGAACACCCGAAGCATATCCACCTTTGGCTTCCTTCCTAGCCACTCCACATAGGGCACCCATTTGTCTGCTCCCACATGAGTCAAGGCTCTGTTCTTGGCCACACACGCGCTCTGCACCGCATCAGGCCAGAAATAGTCGGGTAGCCCGGCTTCAATGAGCAACCCGCGTGCCGCCTCCGTGATTGTGCGGTTCGCTCGCTCCGCGATGCCGTTCATTGCAGGGGAGTATGGCATGGTGAGGGAGTGCCGAATACCATTCTTCTTCAGCCACAACCCAAACTCCTTGCTCAGGAACTCTCCCCCTCGATCGGTGCGGATTGACTTGACTAGACGGTCTTGTTGCCGCTCCACCATCGGGAACCAATCCGTCTTCAACGTTTCAGCCACGTCGCTCTTCTTGGCCAGCACGTACACCCAAGTCATGCGGGTGTAGACGTCGACAATGGTGAGAAAATACTCAGCTCCAGCAGCTCCAAGCTTCAGGGGGCCCACCACGTCCATCACCACCTCATCAAGCGGTGCCTTTGCCGTTGCCTCCGAACTAGGGAACGGAAACCGGGTGAACTTGGCTTGAATGCACGTCGGGCAGCCAAGCACCTCATCGGGCTCCCCCTTCACACGTATGCCAGCAACCATCTCATTCTTCACTAGCTGCTGCAAGATGGGCAGGGCCACATGCCCCATGCGCCGATGCAAGGTGAGCCAATCACACTCCCCCGTAGCCGAAGTTGGATTGGAGAATGCCGCGCTCGCAATAGCGCCCCACATACTCTCTCCGTAGTCCTCCTCCGCTGCTGCCTCTGGGTTCTCCTCACCCTTTTGCTGCTCCTTGGTTGCTGCACCACTCTCCGTAGGTTCACTGAACTTGCTGGTCCCTCCAGGTTTGCTCTTCTTGAGCTCATTCTCCTTAGCGCGACCGTTCGCGCCATCGTCGCTACCGACCGCTCCATCCTTGGTGCTGATGCTTGCTACCACTTGCCTCTCCTTAGGCATAGGGACCACTGGGATCTGCCACATCTCGTTGTAGACATCCCTGTCCTCATGAAGGTCCCAAAGAATTCGATCGCCAAGCCTTGCGGTGTAGGTCTTGGCTCCCTTCGAGTTCGTGTCCATGCCGGCCTTTGCCAACCGCCGCACGGAAAT